CTTCGTTCGCGTCGAATTATTAATTTGTAATGGTGATGATAAAGCAAAGCAAGAATTTCCATTAACATACAAACTGGATAAAATTTTCTCACATTTGCCAAAATAAGCTTTAAACGTCGAGCAGTTTAAGCAGAATCGTGGTTAATCAATTACTCAACTTTTTGAACACCCTGAATGATTTTTAAAAAATTTCAAAATATGTAAAAAACAAAATAAATTATGCGTGTCCAGGCGTTTTCCCGAAAGACTAACCGTTTTTTAAATAACAAATATTGTAATATTTGAGGGGCGTTTTCACCCTGTTGGAATTTGAGATTCGAGAAACCCCTCCTTATCGAACCTCAACCCCACAGTCAATCCGTTTACCAAAAATCAGCTGTAAACGTCAAGCAGTTTAAGCAGAATAGTGATTACTCAATGGTCATATTTTATGAAACACCCTGTATATATTTTTAAAAAAAATTAAAATACGAGTATGTAAAACAACATAATAAAATATACGTGTTTTAAGAGTTTTTCCCAAAAACTCACCGGTTTTTAAATAAAAAATATTCTAATATTTGAGGATAGTTTCACCCCCTTAGAATTCGAGTTTCGAAAAATCCCGTCTTATCGAACCTCTGCACCCTAAAGTCAATCCGTTTTCCAAAAATCAGCTTTTTACGTCAAGGGCTTTAAGCAGGATCGTGATTAATCAATGACTAGATTTTTCAAAACACCTTGTATGCATTTTTAAAAAATCTTAAAATTTTCTGAAAATTTTTCAGAATAAATAAATACCTAAATATTGAAACTTAATAAGTAAGTACTGAAACATACAGCGCCATAATATCTCGACCTCCGCCCGTTATGCTCGTAACAGGTTGAAAAACAATGTATCTAAAACAACGGATGCGTTATTCTCCAACCTGTTTCGAACCTCCATCGACAATCGACCGATGCAGCAGCGTTGCTTTCCCACTCCGATTATCTCGACCGCCGCCCTGTTATGCTCGTAACAGGTTGAAAAACAACGTATCTAAAATGACTGCTTCTCCAACCCGTTGCGAGCCTCCATCGACAATCGACCGATGCAGCAACGTTCCTTTCCTACTCCTGTTATCTCGACCACCAGGCGTTATGCCCGCAACTGTTTCAAAAAACCTGCTTCTTTTATATCCTGTTATTTTTAAGCTGTTCTAAGCCCAATACGACCATCGACGGCATCGGCCGAAGCAGCTACGTTCGCCGTAGCGCATTCCCCACTCCGTTGTCCGTTGTCTCGCCGCCTGTATCGATGGTTGACGAAATAACATGTTTTCCATCCATACTAGTTGTTTTTTGGAATTGCTTCGAGCAGCATCGAGTTTCGTGCCGGTGCAGAGCGCCGACTTCGTTTTTCGTTTCAAGAGCGGCCGATCTCTACGTGTCGTTATTTTATATCTGTTATTTTTTAGAAGTAGTAACGATAGCGTTATGTTATTTATAAATATTTGTTATAAAATAACAGATATATACACAGTTAAATAACAACCCATCACTAGTCGGACCACCCTGTATATTACTTCCTATATGCGCCCTTGCGATAATGTATCGAACCATTGATGCAGGCCTACCTCAGTTGCAGTAGATGCACAACCAAATTTAAGTAGGTACTCAATTTTTTTTGTTTAATATAATGGACTGTCAACATTCAGTACCATATATTTGAAATTTATTAAATATAATATAGGTATTTAATTTAATTTTTTCTTTGTTTTAACTCCAAGGTACACATCAATTATTGTCATAACAAGAGTTTTGTGAGTTATAAAAATAAAACAAAATGAGAAAATACATAGAAATTTGGGTTCTTCTATACAATAAAGTATGGTAAACTAAAATAAAAATATTTATGAAGATACGGATCCGTTAATAAATTTAGTCAATATTTGTGAATGGAGACTATATGTATAACATTTAATAAAAAATATCTACCTGATATTTCTCGGGTATTATATTGCGGCAATCCTTTTCAGTGTTCAGCTTCATTAAATTGTCATAAAATTGTACTTCGTAAATACTAAGTTTCTCTACAATATATAAATGTGGTATTTGCCCAAAAACTTAATACGCAAACAACACCCAAAAGTTTTGAAAGCATCACTGAAAGCCTTTCTCAACATTTTACTATTATAAATATCACCGGATAAAATTACGAAAAGAGTAATAAGCAGTAAAGCTTTAATAGTTAAACTCTGTGTTAATTTTCGAAGTACTGTAAAACAAAGCTAAATTTGACTAGAAATGTTTGTAACTTTATCGATAAAACTTTTCCTGTAAATTAGGAGTAAACTGTTTAAATTTGTAATCATTAGTGAACTGGAAGGTGTGTGAAATATATTATTTACTCGATATACAATGTTTTTTATTACATTTTTTGTAACATTTTCTAGTACTGTAACGTATTTAATTCGTTACATGTAGTATTACATTATAGTATTTTTATTATTTGAATATAACATCGAGATGCACCTGTGCTTCATAGACTACTCCAAGGCGTTTTATAAGGTAAAATGGAATAAACTCTGGACTATTTTACTAGAAATGGGCATTCCAGCTCCTTGTCAGGTAGAGAGCTGGCTGACTCTCCGCTTCCATCCTCTAGCTACTAATCTTCTCTAGCACTTTGTCTCGGTCTAAGAAGCATCTCATTGTTTTGTCCCTGGCTGTATTGTCGTGGCCAGAGAATTGCACCAAAACAATGCCGGATGGGCTACCCCTGTCCGTGATACCAGGCACCCTCTACTGACTGTGGTCATGTCTTGCCGGTAGAGGGTGTGGGGGGTGTTGGCTTAACCACCTAAACCAAGAGAAGACAACCTCACCAAAAACCTAAATCTTAAGATGGCGGGACCAGGTCAAAGGGATGCGTGGCTAGATAGAGGACTAGCCATTACTGGCCTCAACCTTGGGGCATCAGGGGGCACCCCATTGTATTTACCCCTTACTTCTGCATGCGGGGCTCTGTAGAAGTGGACCGACTATCCCTAGCAACTCGTGGGAACACTATGAGATCTAGTATTAAAAACACCACCGGTGAAGCGATGGGGAAGCTCCCTAGCGACACTGGGAACATTACAAATAAAAATTCCAAGGGACCAAATCCAAAGGAAACTACAGGAGGGGCGGCTGACACTTGCTCGGATTATTCTCCAAAAGTTGCACACAAGCTACGACCTTCTCCATCAAGGGTCAGGAGCCTACCTCTAGACCCAATAAGCGACATAAGCTACCGTTTCGTCTACCCGGCCTGGGTCAATCAGGCGGGCTAGACGATCCTCTGAGAGTAAATCTTAGCGGAGCAGAAGCTGCAGAAGAGCAGAAGACTGCTCCACGAAGGACTTGCTCCAGAGGAAGCAAAAGCGAAAACACTCTTCCGAAAAGGGGGGAGTAAAGAAATCAATAAACAACCTGACTCATCTCCATCAAAGGGCAAGAGAGGGAGCGAGAACCTATCACCTCTTCTCCGGCAGGGAGAGAACAAAAGCCAGGACCGAAAGCCGTCCAACACTGGGAGGCAAGCAGGGACGTATCACCAGCTTTGGCGCTATTGCTGGACAAGTGAAAATGGCGGTGCTGCCAAAGGATTTTCCAGAGGTTGTTCTGACCACCGGCCAGCAAACGTCTCTACAAGAGGCTATACTGGACGAAGTAGTGGCGATGAGATCGCAACACAACGATCTACAAAATGTGGGTCAGCTCCTTTTTGTGGGGATACACTTTCGGGTGGGCATGATCCTCATAGATTGGGTATCTCTAGAATCGGCGAATTGGTTGGTGGAAATCGCAGCTAAGCTTAAAAATTGGTAAGGGCCGGAACTGGTTGCAGTGAAGGGAGAAAACATTCCTAAAGGGGCGGCCATAGCGGTCTTTCTGCCGAGTAGCAAGGGAAAGAGACCACCTACTTACTGAGCCTTATCCAAGGTCAGAACTTCAATGTAAGGACATCGAGTTGGCGAGTCATCAACTCGAGGATCATGGTCAGGTCCTCACAATAAAAATTGACCTGAAATCCAAGAAGGCAATAGAGAAAGAGGGACATATCCCTTATTATAGATATGGGACAATACCGGTATCAGGTCTAAGGAGAGACCAAGTTAAAGAGGTGGAGAAAATGGAGACAGATCCTCCAGCCTCCATCTCACGGGTTCATCAACCGGAGGCAAGCTCCTCGACTGTAAAGAGCGGCACGGAGGGCCAAACTCCAACCGTGGAAGGGTGTGTACCCTTGGAGGAAGAACTGTTGTCAGAGGATGATAGAAAATACCCTGTCCCCTCTACAATAGGAGTATCATGGGTCATAGATTGTGTGATGACTCATGGACGGGGGGCACAATAGATTTTTAAGGTCGAAGTGATTACCCCCCCCCCTCTTACTCATTCTACATTCTACAAGAATAAACCCTTGGAGAGGTGGGTATATCGACGGCTGCTGCGAATACCATGGATGGTATCGAAAAAACATCTACATTATTGAAGAACTAAAAGTTGAGACACGTCTAGTTACCAAATAAAATCAGTCAATCCTCCGATATTTTGGCCATATTGCCAGGATGGTACCTCATTGGAGAGACTGATGGTGGAGGGGAAGGTAGAGAGAAGACGATCACGTGGAAGGTCACCTAAGCGGTGGGTAGACCAAGTCAAAACCCTAGTGGGGCACAACCTCCCCGAAGCCTCACATGTCGCGCAGTGTCGAACAACTTTATCCAAGGAAGTGAGGGGAATCAATACAAGATGTCACCATATTCATAAGGACCGAAGAGAGTGTAATTTTTATTTATATTAGCTAAATTACCATTTTTTAGAATCTAAATTCTAAATTCTAATTCTAAATTACCATTTATTTTTTATTACCAAAACATCACAAAAAACATTAAAAAGCGTTATAAACTAAGACAATTAAATACTACCATCATTTCAGAAGTATGTGTAAAAATTAGTAATTTATCACAATTTCAGTGGCGATAGAAATTAATTTAAAAAACACCTAAACTCCGCGCAAAGTGAAAACTTTGAACAGCAACCGAATCGACGGAAACTACAAATGGTGCTGCCCTATCTCTAAAATTAACCAGTATGAAACAAAAAGGAAAAAAAGAAAGAGCGGATTCGTTGAAATTTGTTTGGTACATCGACAGTATATTTCCCTTGGGATGCACTGCCATTTAAGTTTCCAATTTCATATTTTAATTGAAAATTTTCACGGTTCTGGAATATCGGAGTTGAGTTGAAAATTTCAGATAGACAGTTCTATATCGGTTTCAATTTTACTAATTCGAATTAATATACTTACTTATAATTATATTTAATAAACTACAAAGTATTTTCCTGAATGTTCTTATTTTCCGTTAAAGAGAGCTATATTATTTCACTCAAAACTTATAAACAAATATATTATACACCTAATGAAAACACAACTGCTCTACAGACCGTTGTCTCAATGTTTTTAGAGAGCAAAATGGAAGCTTGTGTACAGGGTGAGTCAACGATAGATTAAAGTCCATTATCTCATTTGTTTCGAGGTTTACAAAAAAAATAAAATATAAAAGTTATACAGGGTTGTTTACCGCATACGACATTGAGTATTGTAGCTAAATGATTAGATTTTTACAAATTGTAAGTTTTGGGTTCGAAAAAGGACTATTAGAGCTACAATTTAAAAATATTTTTACAAGATACGGAGTGTCCCAAATAAATAAAAAATATCAAAGTTGTATTTTTTTTAATGGAACACCCTGTATATTATTTCATTTTTAGTTTTTACGATTAAAATAAAGATAAAATTGATTAAGGTTTATCACACTGAAACCTTGCCGTTTTTGAAATATTTCCGATTTTGTGAAATTGCAGTAAAAATTTTAAGGCTTCATTTCTCCAAGGGTTTCAAAGTTTTTAATACCTACTAAATATTTACTGAAGTTTATTTATTGATCAGTTATTGTGTTGCAATAATAAAAATAATACTACCTCATACAGAGTGTCTAAAAATGTATTTTAAATAATTCCTAGATTTAAACATACCCATGGAATATTGACATTTTAGATAGTTTTTAAAGCAACAAATGTACAAAATGTACAGGTGCTAAAAACGATAATATTACTAGCTCATTTGTATACAAAAAGAAAACTATTTAAATCTTTATAAAAGAGTATACCATTAATTAAATATACCACCATTATTATTCGCCCAAATATTAATTAATTGCATACCTACTTAGTTGTGTTAGTTAATAGATTATTCTGAATAAATGTGGATTTGAATCAGAAATCAGTATAATAGTAAGTTATAAAAATAAACATCTCTGTTGTTATAAATAAGCATTCGTCAAAAAATGAAATAAAATGTTTAAGGTATTACTTTTTACCACACTGTGTAATAGGCACACATACAAAATTCAATTTTTTAGTATTTGGAGCGATTATTATTAATCAACGCAAACAGTCAATTAATGTAGTTTGAATACTGGAATTATATTAACTGGTCCTCTTTAACAAATATTTAAACAGTTTTTTTATTTTTTTAATGAAATAAATGAACTATAAAGGCAATATTAGTATCTCTTTAAAAATTTGATACATCTTTAAAAATAATCTAAAATGTCAGTATTTCATAGGTATATTGATAAATGAGGTCTAAATTATAAGAAAATGCATTTTCTGCGAAAACTTAAAGAGATAGGTAAAAAATTGTATAAAACAATTAGACAGACAATTAAATTGTGCATCTAATTCTCATAAAATATACAGAGTGCTCTATTTAAATTAAACAAGTTATTGCCATTTAAAGCTAGTAATTATTTAAAATAACTTTCTAGACACTCTGTATAAGTTAGTATAATTTTTATTATTGCAACACAAAATATAGTAAATATAGAAACTTCAGTACAATATTTGGTTTTAAAAACTTAAATACGCATAGAGAAATGAAGCATTAAAATTATTACTGTATTTTGACAAAAACCTAAATATTTGGAAAACGGTAAAATTAAAAGACGGTAAGCCTTAATCAAATTTACCTTTATTTTAATCGTAGAAACTAAAAATGTAATAATATACAGGGTGTTCTGTTTATGGATATGAACAATGCCAATTAATACCTCAAAATAAAAACACTAAATCACCACAATACACCAAAACACTTTTACTTTTACACTGGACGCGTGTTTCGCTAACCATGTTAGCATCATCAGCAGATGATTATTAACTTTTTTTTTAGTTTATAATCATCTGCTGATGATGCTAACATGGTTAGCGAAACGCGCGTCCAGTGTAAAAGTAAAAGTGTTTTGGTGTATTGTGGTGATTTAGTGTTTTTATTTTGATGTGTAACACCAAAGGTTCCAACCCTCAACTGTAATTAATACCTGTAAAAATAGATTTAAAAAACGTGTCAAAAATTACGTGCATTCGGCATCTCTGTATCTACCTCGCGGTGTTGATTTACAAACATGGAGATATTTATTCCAAGCAAGATAAAAGGTATTCTTGATTTAATAGCAAAATCTTTACTTTTAAATGTCCATGATTTTTTTTGCATGAAGATTCCTCGGGTACTGTGAGAAGTGTGAGTCTATAGTTACGAAATGGTTCAAGTATTACGGGAGCTGGTGAAGCTACGATTTAGAGAGTTCTGAAAGAGAGGAAAAGGGGAACGAAGATAAAAGAAGTTATAGTTTTGCAATATGCGATAGATATCTGTCAAAAATCAACAGAAATGAGGGAACAACCTTTCATCGGTAAGTAAATAGTAAACCAATTCTAAAAAAATGACTTAAAATTAACTAATTATACATTTTTTTCTTTGCATTTTCGCTTTTATTTACTACTTGTCAATAATAATTAGGATACATCAATTTGACCTACGTGTTTCAGCAGCTTATCAAGTGTTTTTGTTATTAAATAATTATTATAATATTTAACTAATTTTTAATATCTAATAACATTTATTGACAACCTAAAACAAAACCAACAAATTATTGAGTCTACCCTACATTACAATTTTACACGTTTAAATAAAAGTAGAACAGCACCGATAGACCGGATTTTAAGTCAGCCATAGTGATCCCCCATCGTGCTCGACGCTAACTTTTTTGATATGCTCCTTCCTTTTTTATTCAATTTCCATTAAAGAAAACGCTAAATATAGAGATTAAAATTTAATAATAATACTTAAAATACACGCTAATACAAAATCACATATAAGTATGATATCTTTTTTCTAATATTTTATACAGGGGATATTGGTATTATTTAAACCAACACCTAAAACAGTTCTATTATTATCCCTCAATCAAGGATATTAAGATCAAATTTTTCATTCCTAAAGAGGACAAGGAAAGACACAGTCAAAGTCTATGCACCATCATTACTAATATCCTGAATGACAATGCTTACACTTAACTCTGCCTCACTTCCTTGATAATTTGGTCAATTGTCTTGTGCCACTTGTGCATGTGATTTTAAATGCTATGTTAAATCTTCTTTGCATTAAAATGTTTATTACAAAATTCGCAGGTAAATGCATAGGTATTCTTTGGTTTTTAAAGGTGATTTTCCTCTATCTGATTCAGAAATTGAAGTGTTTCCAAAGCACAATGAAACACACAAAACTGCGATTACATTAGAGCTAGTATTCTTGTATTTTTTAGTCATTGGAATACAGCTTAGGATATATCTGGCCACTTTATATCAATCGCTTGTCTAACTATTCCTTCTGTCGTCATACGAAAACTTTTATAATCTTGCTCTAACTTATAGATTTCTGTATAAACAGAATTATCTAAACCGATCTTCAGTTCTAGACATTTCTTCTTAACAAAAGTACGGTCTATTTTGGAAGATATTTTCTTTAAATCGTAAAATATTTCATTATAAACCTTCAAAATTTTGTTATATGTATTAGCATACATTTCGAATAACAGATCATCTAGGCAGTTTGTTTCAGCATCGTCAATAATGTTGGATATTTTATCTTGACAAAAGCGATAGTTTTCCAAAGTAACAATCAATTTACTCGTCTGATTAGTCATTGTTTCATGTGCTTCTACTTCCAGAATTCCATCGTGATTTAGAAGGAAATTTGCTTCAAATTTTACGTCTCCAGCTTTTCCTTTGGGCAAATTATTTATGGTGAATTCGCCCAAAAGATTATTGAAGGCACAATTTTTTCTTTCTCCTTCAAAAATTTTAAATTTACATTTATTTTGATCATTTACCGAGGTCCCTAATATAATAGATCCTTTTGCTGGTAGTGCGGTATTTTTCTTGATTACCGTGCCCATCAAAGCACATGAACCACAAATGCCTAAAGATAAAGGTGTTACTTCACTAACCACATATCTTTGTAACTCTTTAAATTTGTACTGCAAGGCTGAAGCTTGTATCGCAGCACCCAGTGCGACGGCTTCGTCCGGATTCATGCCGGTTTTTAAATTTTTATCAAAAAAATTCCTGAGTTCGTCGCGAATCTTCGGCATTCTTGTCATACCTCCCACAAGAATAACTTCGTTTATATCACGTTTCGTTAGTCCCACTCCAGTGAGACATTTCTGTACCAGATTCAGAGCTCTGCTAGTCATAGCATTTGTTAACTAGTTGCATTCGGTTTGTGTTAAGGATATATTAAAGTTATCACTCACATTTTTGATACAATCTAAAATCAGGGTATAGTCATTTTGTGTGGATAGTTTCTCTTTCAGGACAACACATATTCCTTTTAATCTCCTTATAAGTCTCGGAGTGACGTAATTTTGGCTAAATTTCTCAGCTATTTTCTATATAAAATAATCTACTAATACGTTATCGTAGTCTCTACCGCCTAAAAACGTGTCTCCTTCCACGCTCAATACCTCGAATTTTTTTTTGCTAACAACTATGATCGATACGTCCAATGTTCCTCCTCCCATATCGAACACCAGAAACGTTCCTTCAATATCGCGCTTTTCTTTCGTGTAGTAGATGGCCCCTGCAACCGGTTCGCTGATCAGCTTCAGTACTTTCAATCCAGCCAGTTCTGCAGCTGTTTTGGTTGCTGCTCGTTGTGCATTGCTGAAGTGAGCTGGAACTGATATCAGGGCTTCAGTTACTTCAGCTTCTAGAAAGTCGCTGGCTGACTCGCGGAGGTACTTCAATATTTCAGAACATGCTTGTTCCGGTGATATGTGTACCGTCAAGTCACCGTGTTTTATCTCGTATTCTGCTTTATCGTCTTCACCTCGAACAATTTTGAACTTGTATTCGCTCCTGTTTTTCAATTTTTGGACATAAGCGTCATCAAATTTTCGACCAATGATCCGTTTGGCATCTGAAAAATAGAAGAAGTGCTTTAGAACTACACTGATACACACTGAATATAAATTAAAAGTTATTTATTTTATGTAAAATTTTTATACAATTAAATGTTGTAGGTAATTTTAATCCTCATCATCATTTTCAGCTTATTCAACAATTTCCAATTATGGTGTAGCCGCCCTCACATATTTGATCATGATACTTTATAGTGGGCCCATGGTTGTCTATTGTTGGCCATGCGGCCAAGTTAGGCTAGGGCCCAAGTTATCCCTGCTAATTTATTAATATCATTGTCCCATCTTAGGTTTGGACTTCTTCTAGGTTTCTTAATTTATCGTGAGTAACATGCTGTAATTTTAGTGGTCCATCTGTTGTCCGTCCTTCTTGACAGGTGTCCCATCGCAACTTGAGGGATTTGATTCAGTGAATGCAGGGGCGGATCCAGGATTCGGGATCCCTTTTCCCGATAACCTAACCTAACCTAACAAACATAACAAAACTTTACTCAAAGTACATACTCCAGAGTCGTTTGTGACAAAATAAATTATTAATATTTTATTACTTGGCTGGCACTAAGGCGGGGTTGAGCCTCCAAAGCCCCCCCCCCCCCTTGGATCCGCCTGACACTATTATCTGGGTCTTTTGTCGTATCCATTCTATTCTTTTACGGTCTTTCTTGGTTATTCCTAGCATATTCCATTGAGCGTTGTGCGACCTGCAGTTTCCTCATAATGTCCAGTACACATTGGTGGAATGTTTTCTTCTTTAGATAAAGTGGTATTCTAGATTTGAATATGATTGAGTTTTTAAGTAGTCCATGCTAACTTAATTCTTCTGTTGCTTTCTGGTAGTAGACTCGCTATTTATACCCGTATGTATGTATACAGAGAAGACCAGGCTACTAGTAACATAGCAAGTTGCCATACGAATTTACGTTTACCACCCGATTGCGTTCGTACTCGAGTTTCACTGCCGGCTAGTCGGCTGGTCAGACAGTAGGCACTTGCAGTTGTGCTTGGACGGGTCGGTCGTGACAGACTAGGAATACGACGCGAGGAGTGCCGAGTATTTATTATTTTCATTCCAAACCAAACCAATCCCCGTCTGACTTTGGCTAACATATTAGGGCTAATAGTTTGGAAAGCCTCTCGTATTTTTACTTGAAGCTCATCCAGATTATTAGCCCTATTATGACCATACACTTTGGATTTTACATAACTCCACAAAAAGAAATCATTGGGAGAAAGATCTGGTGGTCTAGCGGGCCACAAAATAGTTCCATATCCACTAATTAAACGGTTGGGAAAAGTATTGTTCAAATATTCTTGAACAATACGGGCATTGTGGGCAGGGCAACCATCTTGTTGAAACCAGACAATGTGGAATCTTTCTCCCAATAACTCACGAATTCTAGGGACAATCTGCTGCTGTAACAAGTCCAAATACTTTGCAACAGTTAAATTACCCTCTATAAAAAATGGACCAATCATATGCTCCCCTACAAAACCACCCCCAGCATTTAGCTTTTGAGGATATTGCGTGCGTACCTCAAAATATCTGTGCAAATTTTCCGGGGACCAATATTGTACTTGTGTAGGGTTATGATGACTCAATAAAGAAAAACTTGATTCGTCGGTGAAAACTATACGCCGAATAAAGTTCTCATCTAAATTGGCCTTTTCCATTACAGATTCACAAAACGCCATACGCAGAAGTTGGTCTTCATGGAAAATTTCTTGAGTTTTGCGTGCTTTAAACGATCGGTATCCATTCTTTTTAAGGACTCTTTTAACCGTGCTAGGTAAAGAATCTGTTACATCAGCAATTTGATTACTTGAAAACGTGGGATTTTGATCCGCGGTAGCATAAATGAACACTTGCTGTGACTCTTGTTCTTCATTAATCAACACATCAGGCTTTTTGTGTTTTCTGTGGGGACACGCACCCATGTGTCTCAATATTATTAATAACTCTTGATATAGCAGGTAAATATGGAATTGGCCTGTTTACAAAAGTTTGTAAATAAAACATTGTTTGTATATCCCGATAAGAGCTATTTTGGAAATACCATTTTACAATTTGAATTTTCTCACGAACTTCGTAAACATCCATTATTTTACTTAAAAAATAAATTTTACACGAGAGTTGTCGCCAGAATCTATGTATTCGTTTTGGCTATTAAAACACGAATAAATACAAATTCTGAAACATTCTTATCACGTATCTACCTATTTTTATTTTATCGCATTTTTTCGTTTGCTTTTTATCCGGCGGACGGGTATACGCTAATTCGTCCGATTCTGCCTATGTTACTATTACGGTGGTTCGGTATGTATATCATTTGTTTAAGATATTCTCCGATGGTGGCAGCACCGGCGGAGAATGCACCAAGCCTATACAGTAGATAAACAATGTATATTATAGATATCTACGTACCGAATATAAAATTGTTTATACATTTCATTGCTAGATGATCAGCCGCTGTTCCAACAGCTACCTCCAGGCTACTTGGGTCATAGAATATGTATGAAGGTGTTAACCTCTCTCCATTCTTGTTTGGAATTATTTCGGCCCTTCCATCTCGGTAGACAGCAGCTGCTGAATAGGATGTGCCTAAATCAATCCCAATAACTGGTGCTCCGGCCATCTGATGATTAAATTACATAATATTTTATAAGTTGTTGTGTATCGATATCACCATGTGGTCACCATATGTTACGGTTAAAGCCCCATTCTCACAATGCACTGATGCGGCAATTTGATTCGTCCATGCATGCATAGTGAGTATAGTTCTTCTGAAGTCAGTTGAAATAGATTGGGACTCTTAATTTCGGCAGTGTCTTTGTCGGAGTCGCGTCGGCTGGACACATGATTTAAGAGTCTCGGTACTTCCAACTGACTTCGGAAATACTATTCTACTGAGTACGATGTTATTTGCCAATACGGTGCGTCGATGTGGTTCGTGGATGCGGTTCGTTAAGGTGCGTCCAGACCTGACAAGACGAGTATGAGATGAGAGCGAGGCAAGAGCGAGAAAAGAGCAAGACGAGTGCGAGACATCTTCTATCCATTTTTTGAAGCAAGCCTGCCACGAGACAAGCGTGTTGAATCATAGTAAAAGGAACCCAAACGCATATTAAAATGTAATTGAATATAACAAACGATGCCAAAATAATAATGCATACAGTAATAAATTTGTGTAGCATTTGTTTTTAACATGGTATGTGGCTCATCGTATTTTATTCATCGCCGTTTTTTTTTTCTTTTGGTTATCACGAGACACGACATCTTTTGCAAAATACGTTTTTTAACATTTTTTAGAGCAAAATGTTAAATAGAAAAATTATAGGGAAACTTAAGAAAAACATTTTAAAATTTCTGTATAGTAAAGAGGGTAGGTATTTCAAAAAAGTGTTGCGAATATAATATATATTTTTTAAAGGGAATACCCTATTTTTTATTTTATTATTAGATACTACGTACAATTCGTTACCTTTACATATAATATTATACAGAGAAGACCCCTCCCCCCCCAGGCTACTAGTAACATAGCAAGTTGCCGGACGAATTTACGTTTACCCTATTTGCGTTCATACTCGAGATTCACTGCCGGCTAGTCGGCTGGTCAGGCAGTAGGCAGTTACAGTTGTGCTTGGACGGGTCGGTCGTGACAGACTAGGAGTACGACGCGAGGAGTGTCGAGTATTTATTATTTTCATTTTAAGTGTTTACCTTCACTTAAGGTAACATTTAAAATAAAAATACTTAAATATTTATTATTTGAGTGTGTTTACAAGCCAAAACTAAAAATAAATAAATACTCTGAACCCAAAAAGAACTAAAATATTACTCTAAATTAAAAATAGTTATAACACGTGTTCAAAAAGACCATCTTCTTGTGCTAGACAGAAGCCTAGGCAGTCGTAAAATTACATATTAGGGCTAATAGTTTGGAAAGCCTCTCGTATTTTTGCTTGAAACTCATCCGATTATTAGCCCTTTTATACTTTTATACACTTTGGATTTTACATAACCCCACAAAAATAAATCATTGGGAGAAAGATCTCGCGATCTAGCGGGCACAAAATAGTTCCATATCCACTTATTAAACAGTTGGGAAAAGTATTGTTCAAATATTCTTGAACAATACGGGCATTGTGGGCAGGGCAACCACCTCTGCAATTTGATTACTTGAAAACGTGGGATTTTGATCCGCCGTAGCACAAATTCTTTCAAAATCTTGTGTGTTTCAAAAACATGTGTTTCAAATTTATTAATAATTACTCTTGATATAGTAGGTATGTAATGATGGAATTGGCCTGTTTACAAAAGTTTGTGGAAAGAAAAATTGTTTGTATATCCCGATAAGACCTATTTTGGAAATACTATTTTACAATTTGAATTTTCTCACGAACTTCGTAAACATCCATTATTTTACTTAAAAAATAAATTTTACGCGAGAACTGTCGCGAGAATCTATGTATTCGTTTTGGCTATTAAAACACGAATACATTCAAATTTTGAAACATTCTTATCACATATCTACCTATTTTTATTTTATCGCATTTTTTCGCCAGCTTTTTATCCGGCGGACGGGTATACGCTAATTCGTCTGGTTCTGCCTATACTACTACGGTGGTCCGGTCTGTATATCTAAAATTAATAGATTTTGTAATAATTCAATTTGTTTAAAGAAATGTTAAATTCGGTACGGCAAAAATTATCAGTGACGCAAAATTTATAAATTCTATCAGAAAAATGATAATACATACGGTGTACCATTTAAAAAATTTGAAATTATTTAATTTTGAATAGTCGAATTTGATAAATCTGAGATAATATTTCGCAGTCGAACGACTCTACCAAAAACACGTCCAGACTGTACCGCGAGCTTATTTTGATCGGCCGGCCGTCGCAAAACAGACAGAGGACGGATAACAACGAGGTTCTGTGTGTTGTCTCGCGAGACCCGGCCATACCTAGCAAATTTGGAATCTCTCGCGCTCGTCTCGCTCTTGTCTCGTCAGGTCTGGATGCACCTTTAGTTTGTTTGAAAATTCCTCCATTGTGTTTGTGATATTTATTTTAATGTTTCGCTCAAAAAACAAAATTGTGTCAAAACTATGGCATCAGCAAATAGTGAGTATGAGGCTTTTAAATTAGATTTCTTTTTTATATCAACACTGTTTATGTCAACGTTGTTTAGCCATATAAATATTTTTATGGAACAACAGTCATTTTTATATACAGTGTTGAAAATAAATTATTTAATTACTAATATCGCTATTAAAAAATAGGGGTTTAACATTTATGGTTGTATGTATTTTTAATGACACATCATAAAAAATGTAAATAAAAAATGTTGTCCCAAAAATAGAAAATAAATTGGACTGGGCCACCCAAGGGTATAAAAAGTAGATAACAACTTATTCTCAGACCTACTGAATATACATCAAAATCGGTCAAACCGTTTGGAGGAGTATGGTAACTAAAAATGTGACACGAGAATTTTATACAGGGTGACTCTTAGATAAATGCAAATATTTTTAGGGCTGGTAGATCTCGAAAAAAGAAATACATTTTTAAATACCCTTTTTTTCAAATAATTCCAAAATAACCGAGTTATTTTACTTTGAAAATTTCCAACAAAAATATTTTTTGCTTAAATTTTGAGAACCACTGGATCTTTTCTGGGTTTTTCTTCTTGTAAATTATATCTACTACATCTACATTACCATATTATCAAGAAATTATGGTTTTTACGTAAAAACTAAAAAAATCCAAAATTAAAAAAATACAAATTTTCCAAATTTTTTTTGGAGAAAAAAAAACATAATCATGTTTGTGGGGTCAAAAAATGCTACCCTTAAAAATATTTGCACTTATTAAAGACTCACCCTGTATATTAGAAAGATAGGTCCGATTCGGCTTTATTTCGTAGCTACAGGAGGATGCAGTATTTTTTTTTCAATTTATTGTAATTTTCTTCCAGTGCTTATAGTGATAATTTTTAGTGATAATTTCAAGAGACCTATTTTTTGAAAGTTTAAACATCCTGTAACTTTAAAACTATGCATTTGCACTCATGGTTATAGGAACTTTTTTATATTTTTTGATGAGGAAACACTTTTTAACACTTTGGTCATTTAATAACATTCAAAGACTTGGATTAAGGCAAATTAATAAAATTGCGATTATGGCATCAAGGAGTCCGAAATCAACAAAATATCAAGAGACAACTTTTAATCGGTATTTTGCCAATTTTGCTAATAAGAGGAAAAAAGTCAGTGTCGCACCTATTTCTTTAGAAAAATAATCCAGTGATAACCCATATGCACGTCCCTGGTGAAAATGAAGACACTTTTTTTAGAATTAAAATATGCCGCACTTTTAGTCACAGTGATTTTTCAAAAATAAAGTCTTAATTTTACGTACATAAGACGAGACATAAGACGCACATAGAATGTACACTGGTACGTACATGATACGTACATGTACTCTTTGTACATACACCGAATGTACATTTTTGTGGAAAATGTAGGTACGTAATACATCATTTTTACTACTACTTTTATACGTACATAGGACGCGCATAGAATATACACTGGCTGATTGGGTTAATACAATTTTTAATTATAAAAAAAGATCTACTCACCTTTAATGCAAATCTTAAACTATTGTGATGTTCTAAGAGTAACATTAAATACAGAGTACAAATTATTCTGCTAAAGTACCTACCTGTTATCTTTTTCGATAATTCCGTATCTAACTAAATGCATTTTTTTACTTAATAAGACGAAAAATACTTGAAACTGAGTGTTTTTAGCGCAAATTATTATTTTTATGTTTGTTTAATTTTCAATTATTCCACTAGTTAATCAGAAAAATATGAATTTTAAATAAATAGTAATATTTGGATGGAGAGGAACGTTTAATAAAATTTTACCCAGATTTCAAGACATTTTATTTTAAGTTTTTCAAAAACTCACTACAAACACTTGTAAAACTACACACTATACACACTACAAACTTGTGAAGCTAAATAAAAAACGAAAATTAAAGAAGAAAATAATATTGTAATAATAAATTACATCAAATAATATTACTACTTTTTTATTCCTCATCTGTGATTTATTTAAACCAGCTGTGTATTTTCGTATTTTCATTCAATCGTGAATCAAGCATGAAATAAATATTCTACCGAGTGAGTCTCAAAAGTGGCGTGGCTCTTCCCTAATTTATACAGGGTGAGTTTCCTACGATGTTGTCCATGGGTATCTCGGAAACTACTGGAGATAGAGAGTCGGTTAAAAGGGGAAAGAATTGCAGTTTTGTGGGGTCATAAACATGCACTTTTCAGATTTTTGAAAAAGTTCATGGCTTACTAGATATTTCGAAAAAAACAAATTTCGGCTATTTCAAAAATTGTCCCTAATTCCATTATAATCTATTTTAGACAAAAAGTTTTCAGATAAAAGTTGTAGATAATCACATCCTTAATGAGACTATGTCCTCCGTTCTTTTCTAAAGCCTGTCATTTTTGACATATGATACAAACATATGTTTTTTTAAATGGAAACCATAGTTGGCCATGACTTTATAAAAAGCGCTATTTTTAAGCTTTTCAGCAATATAAGCTATAATATGTTTTTTTTCGAAAAATTACTGAGTTATAGCCAATTCTTATCATTTTTAAACAATTTCACTTAGTTAGCCATGGGAACAAGTTCAATCGGCGTCTCAGTAATGTGAAACTGTCACATCCAAATTTTGTAAATTAAAATAAAGAAAAATTGTAAATATGAATTTTTCATATAAAAAAAGCGTGCAGGATTATTGGTCCAACTTTTCTTGGCCATACATTTCCAAGAATATGTTGACCGGTGAACGTTACTTACGTTTTTTAAAAAAGTTAAATTTAGATACCCGCGCATCAATAGAGTGGTTCCAAGATGACTTTCATTATGACACACACACACTCCCCCTTATAATGAAAGGAATGCTAAAAATTATTTATATCATAATTACGCAAACTCAGAGATAGGAAGAGGTGGACCAATTGCATGGGCCTCTTCGATCACCTGACTTATCCATTTTAGATTTTTTTAACAAAGTTTACAAAAGAACTTATGAATCGAAGTCGACCGGCCGTTCTGTGGGAAAAGCTTGTAATTCAGTTTTAAAAAGATGCATTTTATGTACTCAAAACAATGGCGCTTTTTTTTTGAACATTTGCTAAAATAACTTAAAGTGTAGTAGTGATATTCGTTTTTTTTTAAGTTTCAGTACTGTAAATTGTAAAGAACCGTTTAATAAAGTATTCTGTCTTTTTATAAGTTATAAATCATAACAGAATAAGAATACCATACCAACTAAGTGAAATTTGCAAAGAAAGATAAGAATTGGTTACAACTCAGTAATTTTTCGAAAAAACCATATTATAGCATATATCGCTGAAAAGCTTAAAAAATGGCGCTTTTTATGAAGTCATGACCAGCTATGGTTTCCATTTAAAAAAACATATGTTTGTGTCATATGTCAAAAATGACAGGCTTTAGAAAAAATCGTAGAACATAGACTTATTAGGGATGTAATTATCTACAACTTTTATCTGAAAACTTTTTGTCTAAAATAGATTATAATGGAATTAGGGATAATTTTTAAAATAGCCGAAATTTATTTTTTTCGAAATATCTAGTAAGCCATGAACTTTTTCAAAAATCTAAAAGTCGCATATTTATGACCCCACAAAACTGCAATTCTTTCCCTATTTAACCGACTCTCTATCTCCAGTAGTTTCCGAGATACCCATAGAGAACATAGTAGGAAACTCACCCTGTATATCCGGCGAATCAAGGCCATGCCAAGAATTGCTGCAGAAGATCGTCTTCTCCCGAATAAGCATTATTTCCATATAAAAGCAAAACGTTCCCACACTATTGTCATTCTTGGTTATTCTCTTAGTGTTGTTACTGTAACTTTTGAAAATATTTTTTTTTAAAACGCTGCTCCGAGTTTCGGTTTCTTAATTGGCGCAGGACTGTGCAGTAGTATTTTTTCAAATTTCGGGATTGTTTCGACCGATTATCGAACATTTTCGCCAAATTAGGAGAAAGTTACGTGAGTTTTCAAGCTCTTTAGCACAGTTCTACGAAACAACAATCAGCAGCAGCAGCAGTAGCAGCATTTCGACATTCGGGAATCAGAAAGAGTTGGAGACTATACAGTAAAAGGTAGGTACCAATTCCTTTCGCTCCTTCTGACCCTCTGATTAAGGACTTAGAATATTTAGTTATCAGTGTATGTTACACAAAATTTAGTTTAGCTCAGTCTATTAAAAATAATTAATGTAGGAAAAAAATCAATCAATCAATAAGACAAAATAAATCGAAAAAAAAGTAATAAATAAAATAAATTCAATTAAATAATAAATAAAAATAAATTTTTATATATTTCTAATTATTTAATGAGCGAACTAGATGAATTAGTTAATAGATTAAGTACTTTTAGTTTTAATAAAACAAAAATAAAAATGCATAACACAAGTAATGACGATACATTAGCCGTTGATTGGGACTTATTTATATCACGTTTAAATTATACTAAACCTTTCGATGGTGATTATAATACTTTGAATAAATTTATTATGAAATGTGACAAATTAATTCGAACTTATTTCATACATAATAATAACGAATTGAATTCTCATATCTTTGATTGTGTGCAAGAAAAATTGATTGGTAGCGCGGAAGTTATGGTAGGTAATAGATCCGAACTAGCAAACTGGGAATCTTTAAAAGCAGCTTTGCAACAGTGTTTTTCAGACGGCAGAGACACAGATTGTTTGGTTCAGGAACTAACACGTACCAGGCCTTACCAAAGTCGAATATCTAATAGAACTAGAAAAAATATTTTATATTTTAGAAAGTTTGGCGTCAAATTTTGAACACCCTGTATGATTTAAGATTACAATATTAATAGCAAAATAAGTGCAGACCATCTAAAGTATACACCTAATATAGTTTTGATTTCAGGACAGCTCTTGTATTTTTAATATTTTTTTTAAAAAATACTTAAAAAATATTTTTTTTACTTATTTATTAATATCTCTGAAACTATCAATTCTTATTTAAAAAGATCTTCAGATATTGTAAACGGATCAGAAAGAGGAAGCCAAAAATGTAATAATATACAGGGTGTTCTATTTAGAAAAAATCATAGTCCTTTACAAAGATGCAACCGGGGGGCATTGAAAATGATGAATAAAAACGTAAAAATATGATTAGTGTTAATATGAGTGTATTACATACATATGTTTAAATAACGAACTTAACAAAAAACAACAGATTTAAAGATTCACTGAAAAAGTAGTAATGTTAACATTAAATAAAACATTATCAATAATAATTATGCGATCGCACCTATCCGTAAAACAAACAAGCAAAAAAACAAAATAACATACAAAACATCAGGTTAATATGATGACAGATCATGATCGATGACATATAAAGAATTCTTACGGAAAGTTACACTTTACGATATAATTTTATAACTGTTAAAGGCAAACCCCATTTAAACACAAAACTTTTTAATACCTACTACTGTATCTAAAAGACATTTTTTTTAAATTACTAAATTCTTAGCCACGCTTCTGTTTTTCTTGGCTGTTGTGCGTCACGTCACAGATTAACAGGCCCACGTTTGCGCCACCAGGCGATGCTGCAGACCACTAGGTAGACCGGTCGTAGAAATTTATGTTATACAACTTGTAGTCAATCTACACAAATATTATCAAAAGTTTTTTTCTTTTAAAATGTGTTTAGATTTTGTAAAAAGTATAAGTCAAAATCGCAAAACTTAAATTTGATATGAGTTTCGTAGTTTTTAACTAATATAGTGGCGAATTACAAAAATTCCTTTTCAATGAAAATTAATCAGTTAAATAAAATAATTTAATAAATTACTAGCTCTTTCCCGCGACTGCGTTCGCGTTACACCTCGAATCGTTCATGCATTGATTTAAATGATTTTTTACTTCTTTATAGAGAGCTAGTGAGCATAGAAGTTTTTTATTTTTCATCTTTTTTTCATTTATTAAGAGCACTAATACTCTCTTTATAGGTTATTTTTTATTCTTTGAAGGATAATTGAGGAAGATATATTTCGTTATGATGTCACTAAATAAACCCTTGTATAAAATTTCGTACTGTCTGGTTTATAATGTTATAGTATTGCATTTTCGTACAGCAAACTTTCATTCCCAATTCTACTCCCTAAGTGTATAAATTTCATAAATTCGCTTTATCTTTGTGCCAATTTTTATGTGTATAATCCAGAGGTCAACAAGTTTTATATAAATTTTTACTAACTTTACCCATTTGGTTGATGAATTTCAAAAATTTCTTCTAATTCTTTTTGTGGGATTTCATTCTTCTAGACCACATAGTAAGGAATTTTCATACAACAAACTGTTCCGACATAATTTTACTCTCTAAGAGGATGAATTTCCTAAAATCGCTTTGTGTAGCTAATTCACTAATGTCGTTTAAACGAACTTTTGTGCTAATCTTTATGTATCTAAAGCTGGCGGTATGAACTCACTCCTAAAATATCTAAAAACTTAATATATAATCTAACTGACACACCACTGACAATGACAAATAATTTATTTCTGGAGGTATTGTGTGTAGGTGTTT